TCGCTAAATCTGCCCATGCCAATCAGCTCGAAGCACGCCAGGGGGACACAACAGGTTAGCAAGGTAGGCCGGTATGTTGTGCTGGGTTGAAGACAAAATATGTTGTTATTAATTACTATTATAAAATCTGTACATTAAATATCTAAAAAATACAGCTCTATTGGCTGGTTATTGTTCTTGTGGTTTTATGTAGTATTCAACGTCGCTGTAGTAACCTCCATGGCTGCTGTGGTCTTTCCAGGGGGCCTGTTGATTGTTGGGGTCTTGAAGTGGTGGTGGTGGTTGTGAAACGAGTTTGGTGGATGGAAGAACATCACTGGCGTCGGTAGAGGGGAATTTGTTGGCGGGGATTTGTCCACGGGGCGGGAGATCATTCTGGGGTGATCCGTAGGTTTCTAGTTGCAATGGCTCGGCTTGTTCGAGTCTAGCTTTGGCTGCTATCTTTTTAGCCTTTTTAACATTGTGTCGTTCACGTCCACGTGTCTGCCAGTAATAGCCCCAGAGTCCGAATAGAGCGGTAGCGCCAAAGGCAATGCCAGCCACGACGCCAATGTAGGCCCAGTCATCAATACCAGACTCAACAAGTAGTTGAGGTTTGGTGACGATCGCTTCGTCGCAACGAAGAGTGGTAACTTGTTGCTTCAAACCGGCCGCCGGCTTGAGAGGTAGATCTGGTGACCAGATCAGGCGAGCCAGCTCAACTTCGCCACAGTCTCCGGAGCGGATTCCGTCTGCAGTGAATTGAGTCAGGGCGGTTTCAATAGCTTCCCCGTTGCTCTGCTTCAGCAATGTCTGTTGAAGATGATAGCTCATGAGTCCGAAACTGAAAAGACGTCGGTCATCCACGCATGCGAGATAGAGCGGGTCGGTGCCATAGGAGGCTTCGTAGCCACGCTGACACGTGGCCTTCCACCACTTGGAGTCGGGCAAGCCGGTAGTCACGACGTCGGTCATCTTGAAATGGAAAGCATCGACAAGCAAATCGAGAGGAACACCACCACAGGTCTGGTCGAAAGAAGAAGCCTTCTTACACTGCAGGGTCAGATTACTCCACTGACCACTTACACATACCAGTTCTTCACTCGCCTGACTATCCGTGGCCGCATAACCAGCTGCACAAGACACCTGCCGCACACTGCCGGCGCTGATACCGTCACCTACAACGCGGTACATGGCAGGCGAAGGCGTCTGCAGGTGGAAGTAGGGACACGGCTTCATACAGCGCAGTAGCGGTGACCGGTCAGCGGCTAACCAACGTCCATTGCTGCAGAGAACCTTCTGGGTCTTTGTTGCAATATCTGCATATGGCTGGAAACCCGATCGGCAACCGATTGTCACTGTGTCGCCTTCCTGACCACTCACCGAACCACCCAGTAACTCGTAACTGCTGAAGGGAATGTTTTGTCCGCGACTCCACGGATCCGTTTCCGAGATGAGTGCGCGCACACTGCACAGCCGGTGTGGCCCCGCCAAATATCCCAAGTCGAACGTGCCGTCAGTCGGCAACTCATTCACCTTGTTCGACTGCGCAGGATCCAATGTCTGGATCACGAACTGGACGTTCTTGATTAGTGTGACCGGTACTTGACGTACCGTGTCCACGTCCAAAGCCGCGCTCTTCTTCTGGTCCACCTCCGCAGCCGCCAGTTGTCTTGTAGCCGCCAGACGGCGCTTCTGGGGGCCCGCTTCGAACACACTTAGATAGTTGTCCAGCACGTCACTGAGACCCATGCGCCATTGTAACACGGCGGCGCTAACCATATCGCCAAACTCCCCGTTCTCCTGGAGGGTGTTTAGGGTGCGTTGGGTCTCGTCGATGAAGAGCGAAGGGTCCACGAGGATCTCGATGAGCGAAGCGCGCGAGTTTTCGGAGGGCCACACGTTCACTTCGCGTACGTCGGTGAGTGGGAGCACGAGCAGGTCGCTCAATGCTTTCCGCGTTAACACCTTTAGACGCAGGACGGGCGCTTCGTTCTCCACGGCGGTCTTGAACTCCTGGTAATTGATCAGATCTGCAGGAAATTCGGCCAGTTTGACGCTGGGCGGCCTGGCCATCATCCAGCCTAACGCGTCATAGCTCGGTGAGTCAGCCTCGAAGTAGATTACCAGAATGCGTCGGGCCAGGCCTCGGCTGCAGGTGCGGTCTTGGTAGATGCTGCAGAGTGTTTGGGAGTAAATGCTGCTCCGGGCAGGCGTGTAAACTTCGTAGCTATTTAGGTCAAAGCCGTTGAGGAAGGCGCTGTCCACCAACTCGCCTCTCGTGCCGAAACCAGAGCCGAACCCGGACCAGAGGCTGTTGGAGTCGCCGTCCCCGTCTGAGTACTGCGGCGGCGGGATGAGGAGATTTCGAATCGCCTCGGCGTCTACAAGTTTGCCCAAGTCTTTGAAGCTGACGGCACCATTACGAATGAGCGGGTGCGAGTAGTACTCCAGGTCGAGAACCTCCTTGAGGATGTCAATGCCCACCGCGAAGCAGCAGCCGTGGTTCACGACGGCTTTGCTGATAGTGCGGTGGCACTCGAACTCCTTGGGACAGGTCTCGAGGTTACGGTTGAGGGGGTGACAATCGCTGGAGAGGGGGATTGGTTTGAGCAAACGCTGCACAATACCGGGAAACATATTCGCTACGAGGCAGTCGCGGCCATCGAAACCGCAGAGGGCGTTGAAACACTGCGGGTCGCAGACTCCGTCGTTAATGTAGTCTAGGTTACATTTGCTCGCGTCGCAGTTGGGCAACAAATCGAGGAGCGCGTCGCGGTCCACAGCCGTGGTCCGCGCCGACATGTGTTGCTGCATACCCGGCTGCATACCCTGAATGAGGTAGCCAAGGTGCTTGATGGCACAGCTGCCACCTTGCGCGTCATTCTGGCAATAGTACCGTCCAAACATTTTGAGAAACAGACCCATGAACCGCTGGTACGGATCACCACGTTGGATGCCGCGATCTGTGACCTCCTGACCCAAATGTCGCGAGAGCTGAAGGAAGCAAGATGAGTCACCACACGTACCGGCGAGGGACGCCACCGCACGTCCAAGATTGTGGCGGTCTGCCACGGTCATTGACGTCTGTCCGCCCCAGAGCGACAGGCTCTCAATCAACTGTTTGAACTGCGGTGCACACGAGTGTGCATGACTATCCTTTAGACACATGAGGGGCACAACCGCGTCCGTATACTGGACACTCGCCGGGTCTCGGAAAATACTGTTCACTACCGGCGTCGCACCCGTCAGTCCCGAGAGCCGTCGTCGCGGACAAGTCGGCTCCAGCGGACTTAGGCGCCGTCCCGCCGCCTGGGCACTGCCGTTGGCGAGGAGATGATAGGGTTCCCAGAGGTCGAGGGGCAGTTGGGTCTCCAACGCTCCCGGTTCGTACTCGAATGCTGGTGTCTCCTCCTGAGTCATGGCGAGCAAAGTATCCACAGCCGCATTGAGTGGTGCAGTGGGATCAAGGTCGCGAATTTGCATCAGATGTGCGAGGTAACGTTCGGTGTTGTCCAATCCGGAACTGGAGTCGAATTTGGAACTAGAGTCGCTGGAGAGGCGACGTAGGTTGGCGTCTGCGTTGGAGTCACGGACGAAGACAACGTCGGGTAGGTGTATGAGCTGCCACATGGTGTCGACGTAGCCAACGTTGTTGCGGAAGCAGCTGTGTTTGGTGCAGGCAATATCGATGTCGGCGACTCGTTGGTAGACGTCCAGTGTGCGAAGGTGTGCGAGATCGGTGCCGGCAGTGGCGAAGCAGAACTCGCTCAGCTTGCCATGGAAGACGGATTGGGCGCCCTGTTCCTTTCGCATCTCCACCTCATTTGTGTTTGTGTAGCAAAAAGCGTCACTGGCAGCACGAACAGCTTCCGCTACATGCTCGCAAGTACTTCGTCTCTTCTCGCGTTCCTTGGCGTCGTCATCACCCATGCTTCCACCCGCGTTACGACGCACGGTTTCCTCTCTCAGTTTGTCGTAAAAGTCAGTAATCTGTTTGAGTCTCTGGAAACAGACGCCCTTGCAGAAAGCTTGCACCTTACCACCATAAAGCAATGCACCGCACTCGCCGGACATCTCCGCATTGAAGGCTCGCAACAGGCCACAGCAGAACTCGCTCGATTGGGACGCGCAAAATTCTAAACTTAAGCCTGGGCTTTGGAACTTTTGGAGCACCTGCTGCTCCAAAAGGTGTGTGCCCCTCTCTTCGCAACGCAAAGCGAACATGGGTAATGCCGTGAAGTCGGCAGGAGAGACGTCTGTAGCGCCCAACAACATCTCACGACCGAGCGATGCCGGCCACCATCTCCTGTCGAGACAAACTAGCTCCAGGGGCGCATTCCCGCCAGCCACAACAGCCGTCGAACTGCAACCAATACTCACTCCCGTCCCATGAGACATCGCCACCTTATTGTCGAAGCCACTACTCGTTCCCCTCGTCTTGGTCACATTCCCCGTGGCCAAGTCGATCGCTACCGACGCCACATCGTAGGAACTCGAATCATAAGCCTTCAAATCCGCCATCGCACAGGCACCGCAAGCTCGACAACCGGACCCACCGCAGTCCACCCACTCTTCGTCACCATTCAACACTGAGTCGAAGCAATCAGCACACACGCGCGCACACACGCCACCACAATCAATGCCCCATTCGCCACGAGACATTACGCCATCGGAACAAGATACCGTCTGCACCGCCAGTGCACCCGACGCCGAGACCGCCGTCAACTCTTTCGGTAACTCGCTGCCCTCCCAACTACCAGCCACCTCCGTACCGTCCGTATCCTCAACCGGGCCGTCCGCGACTTGGCCATCTCCGACTTGGCCGTCCACGGCCTCGAGGCCACGGCCTTGCCATTCGGAGCCGTCAAGAGAGCGGCTGTAGTTTGCCGACATGACCAACCCGGCGTCAGCCGCCGAGGCATCATCCGTCGTCTGGAGCCGTCGTCTTGAGGCGCCATTTTGAAGACGCTCCCAGACGCCGTTAACGCAGATGAAGGGTATGTAGGTGGTGGCGGCAACGGCGGTGAGAGGTAGGTAGAAGTTTTCGTTATGATGTGCATGCACGAGAGTTTTGTGCGGTAGTGGAAGGTCATGTGTATTGAGTATGGCGCCGGCAGTGTAAGAGGGCATCTCCAGGGTAAAGAGTTGGGTGGGATCGGGAAGGTCGGTGCAGGGTAGACATGCACCGGTTGTTTCGCAAGAGTGCAGAGTCTCTGGGCAAGCGGTACTGCAACTGCCGCCACAATCGACATCGGTTTCCCGGCCGTTGATGGCGCCATCGGAGCAAGACGCAGCCCCACACACTAGGAGCGGTAGTGTCCACTCGCCGTCGCTGCAGGCCACGCGATCTGCAGCGGGTCCGGAAATGCGTGTGGTGGTGACGTCGCAGCTAATGTCAACTAGTGTGCCGTGTGCGACGTTCTTGGCCAAACTGCTACGTGCGGGCTTCACGATCCGAAGCCGCTTCTGCCGGACCAGTGTTTCCAAACTACTCTTCGCGCACGTGCGGCCGCAGGGCAGTGCAGCTGACATGGCGATTTGCAGCGTCTCCGTTCGGGTTTGTGCGTGTCTTACGACCAACGCGTCGCCCAGCGGCGTCAACGGCAGTGCGAGTTCCGGCGTGGCGAAGGGGGGTGGCGGCGCCGTCCAAGCGCCTCGTGCACACACCAGTTGTACGGAGTCGCGTGGCACGAAGCTGAGCACACCGTCTTCCAGTCGGCCTACATGGCCGCCAGTCAAGCCGGCGGCACAATAAAAGGATCGACGAGCGCCCCAACTGAAGCTAACGGCTTCGTCCTGACGCGAGTAACGTGCAGAATAAATCGCATTGAACGAAGGACAGTAAGGCGAGCAGCGCAACAACGACTTGGTGCTCATTTCCACACCCTGACGCACAAGCGGTATCCACTCACCGTCGTAACAAGTCACCACCTGATTGGGATTTTCGAACACCGTCGGGATCGCCTTGACCTCACTTATCTTCACTGGTCCATCCGGGTCCGCCGGTGAGGCTCCACGTAACACATACAAGCCCGGATCTGCCAACAATGGTGCTGACAATGGCTGTGTGCCTTGCGCACACTCCACTAAAAAGTGCTGGCTCCCGTGTCTATACTGGAAAGGTCGGGATGGTAGAGTTAGTGCGTTGCTGGCCTCGTCCGCTACGCGGTAATTTTGACCAAAGTACACAACGGGATGAGCACACGCTCCCAGACACTCCACATTGTGACTCACACGCGTCCACTCGCCCTTGAGGCATACGATCTGATCGACACGCAGATCTGGGGCCGCATATTTCGCCACTGCATCCCCACGACACGTGACGTTGTATGTAGCACCTGGACCTGTGGAACCAGAAGTGCTCGCCTCAGAGCTGAGAGCCAGCACTGTGTTGTACCCAGGACCTGGTGGAACGAAGGGGCCACAGGACTTTTGACAAGACAACGGACGACGGCGGGTCCAAACGCCCTCAACGCAGGAAAGTTGTGTCTGCTGCGCCGAGTTAGAAACGGGGAAACGAGAGTCCACCTCGGCCCAGTAATCGTCCATCCACTGCGGCATCGAGTCCTCGGTGTTGTTCGCCAAGAGTGGTACCGTCTGGTCTTCGCATCTGAAGACGTACGTCTCGCCCGCTACCCCCGATGCCTTGGACGCTGCCAGACTCGCCGTCAACGGAGTCAGACCGTACGTATAGGACACACCCTTAAGGTCCAGCGGTCCGCAATTGTAGTAACACTTTAGGCTAGGCGTCTGCCATTTGCTATCCTCGCCACAGACAATCGTCTCCGTACGGCCTCTATCACCCTTGGCATCACTGTTGCAGGCAATAGTGCGACTACTGCCCACGCTCAAGCCAGTACCCGACATCACTGCGTAGGCCTTCCCCAAGTCCGGGAAGGGCCCACAGGTCGCGCCACAACGCAAATTTGTGGCGGTCCAACGGCCATGCACACACGTGCTCACCTCACCCAGCGCACTGCCCGACAAGGTCTCGCTATGGTCCGCGCATTTGAGTTGTACTTGTGAACCCGTTTTGAAGATCGTTAGGTTTGCCGACCCTATTGCAAATGGCACTATATCGTTGTCGTCCGTTGCCACCTTCGTCACCGACACTTCATACTGGTTCGCCAACGGCGGGTACACTCCACAGTCCGCCTGACAAGGTAGGTTCAAGTAATCCCAATCGCCGTCCATACACGTCGATACCACGTACGTGGAAGTACTGCCATCCAGGTCCTTTAAGCCGCCCTGCTTGCCGAAGAATATGAGATCTGAATGCTTCATGGCATCCGCCTGTTTGAACCTCGGTGAATAATTTTGCAAACAACCCAGCTTCAGTTTGGTACCATGCGGGATACTACGGGTGTCTGCCTCGTCGTCCGCGAACCCGTCCGCCTCATAAGGCGCATCGTCCTCGTGGTATGAAATACCGATGTGGTCATAAGGTCCCGCGGGATAGGGGTAACATCCAACGCCGTAAGTGGTGATCTTGAAGTCGCCCTGCACAATGGGCGCCACAGGGTTGTATTGCAAGTCCGTGAAAGCACCCGTATCAACCACGACCCAGTACTCAGTGCCCGGCTTCAGCTCTTCCGCAAGTCTTACGCGCATCTTACTGTGCTCCAAATCACGCAATAACACGCGGCCGCGAACCCCCGTCTCGTCTTCGGGGTCCACCACCACCTCATGGCTGCCGTCCACGGCACTGAATGAAATCTGACTCCAGTGCCCGTAGGTTACCGGCCGATCGAAGCTAAACGAAATTTCAAATTCCTGCGTCGGCACGCCTCGAGCCCGCGGCAACGGGTCCGAACCTGTAAACCTCGGCGGCGAAATGTTTCGCTGCTGGATACACTCTATTATCACCGACTTCTGCTCCACCCACTTGCCTCGCGCCCACTTCTTCCACAAACCCGTCACAGGTCTCAGCGACGTCTTATCCCAACCTGAAGCCGTCTTGCTCCCACTACTGCTGGTACTGGCACTTGCGCTAGTGCTACCACTCGTGCTAGTAACGTTTGTGGCAGTCTCGAAGGGAATGTCGAGATAGCTGAGAAACTTGGTGTGGTCGTGGCTGAGGCCGACGACCCAACGACCGGAACTTGTAGCGGAGCCAGGGAACCAGAAGATCTGGCTACTGTCATCGAGTCCGTCAACGGTGGGCACGATGCTGGTCCATTTGGGTTTGTTGTTCAGTACGCCGGTTGCGCGGTAGATACCGTTGACGTTGAGCGTGTCAATGGCAAAGCCGGTGACGCCGAGGAAAGGGCAACCGCCGTCGGAGGTGACGTTGAAGTGGTAGTCGGTGCTGCCTGTGTTGCCGTTGCCCTGTAGGTCTTCGACGATGCCGCCCTCGAAGCCAAGAAGGTAGTGGCCCTCGGGTATACTGGAGAGTCGCAGGTCGGGTGTAATGACCAGGTCGCGGCCTTCAATACGGACGCGGTGTGGTTCGGAAGCAGAGCTTCGCAACGTCGGATCTGCGACGGCAAAGTCATACTTGACGCCTGTCAGCGGCGAAGCCAAGACCACACGTCGGTCGGTAGCAGCCGAGAAGCGGATAGTCTCAGAGAAAGTGATCCGGATGTCCGCAACTGGCGGAACCACGGCCGTACCGTTGGCGGGACGGATGCTGATGGCGTAGGGTGCCTGCGTGTCTACATAACACTTATTCGCTACACACACACCTGCAGCCGCACAATCAGTATCTACATTGCACTGGTCGACGGTTAGTAGACCCAAATCGACGTCGAAATCCTCCGGTTCGTCGCATGGTCGTCCATTCCCGCCTCGGTCCTGGCCGTTGCAGCCGCAAAGGCGGTTGGTGCCGAGTGCCTTGGGTACGCCTAGATGGATGTCGCACTGCCCGTCCCCGTTTACGTCCATGATGCAGGGTAGTGCGCTTTCTTCATAGTAGCCTGGGTCTAGTGCTTGCGTAGCACCGCAGCTGAAAGCGGCTGCAACGGGCACGATCTTGAGTCCTTCGCTGATGGTTTTGGCGGCAACGGATTGAACACTGCAGGATTTGTTTACTAAACACTGGTAGACCTTCATACCTGCGGAGGCAGCGATGCCCATGAAGCCGGCACAGTGGTCGTTGACGCAGTATGCGAATGTCTTATGAAGGCAATGTGCATTAGTTAAGCACTCTTGCACACCCAGCTTGGCCAACGGGACGAAAAAGTCTGCAGCCGAACCACACGCCCTACCTGTGCCACCAACATCTGCGTTCGGACAGCCGCAGAGTCGCAGTCCCTCAAGCGCAATGGTCTTGTTCCGCCGTTGACCTACACCAGGACTAAACTCACAGAACTGACCCGAACCTCCACCTGCACAACGCCAACGATTCGGGTTCGCAAATATTGACAACTTCGGCGGTAACGGCTCCGCAGTACCGCACATCTCACTCGGACTCACTCCAATTATCTGGAACTCACTCGTCACACCAAATCCTGATAACTCACCAGCCACATCGCATCGATACCCCTCCACACAACGTATCAACTTCACATCCTCAATATCCGGGTAGAATGCAGCACACACACCCCCTACGCAGCTCCCGTACAACCCGCAGTCCTCTCGCGATCTACACGCCCCTTGCACCACACCAGATGCCGCCGCCAACACTTTTTCTCCCGCCGCCGAACTCTCCGAAACGCTTGACGGAGCCAAAGTCGGCACCAATGCACTAAAGTCAAACAAACCTGATAACGCCGCACCTGGATCTAGCAACGGGCTCACGGCCGCCGCCGAGGGCGAGGCCGAGGGCGAGGCCGAAGCCGAAGCCGAGGGCGAAGCGGCAACCGAAGTGGCGGAAGCGGGCGCATTCTCGCCGAGAGAGCCACTGCCGCGTCCGTCGGAGGACGCGGTGCCCCCGTGATCCGCCGTGCTGTTCACAGCCGCGGTCGCGGCAGAGACGGTCACGGCAGAAGCGGTCGCAGCAGAGGCCGTCACGTCAGAAGCGCTCGGTGCCAGAGTATCGGAAGCGTTATTCGCGGCGTCCTGAAGTTGCCTGCGACCGCTTTGTGCAGCGCTCGTAGTGCAGTCTTGACAGGCGTCGCCGCGTAAGGTGCCGATCCATTCAGCGACGTCGCTGGAGCAGTAGGTGGTGTTGTCGTTGGCGTCTCCTTGAGCGGGTGCGTCTCCTTGAGCGGGTGTATCGTCAGTCGCCGGTTCAGTCGAGGCAGGATCCTGGCGTAGGGGGAAGGGACAGCGGCACAGTTTCAATGTGTCTGGGCCGAGAGCGAGTCGGACTGAGCAGACGTGGTTATCCGAGTTAGCTCCACAGCGGAGGACCTGGTGGGCATTCTGGAAATCGCTGCAGTCAGTCGAAGTGGTGTAGAGATAGCCGTCATCTTGGTTGCTGAGACTATCGACGTCGCAGCGGACGCTGTTAAACATGCTCAGGAACTTCGCCTGCTGCGTACCCTGCGACTCACTGGCGCGGCAAACCACGTCGGGACGGAAGGCTTCAACGAAATGTACCACTCCCTTTGCCACCGTCGCACCCGTCGACAGTTCTTGCTGACACAACACGTAGTCCACGTCCGTAGCCACCGGGAACCCGCGCTCAAGCACAATCGAATTGCTCGAGACCGAATATGCCGCAAAGGTTGTGTGTGCACACACACTTCCGCCCGTATCCGGCTCGAAACCCAACAACAAGATGTCCCCCGCACGCGCGTCCGGTAACAACGCAGTCACGTCACACAACGACGTGTACCGGTACCCACAATTCACGCCCCCCACCCTCTCCGTCAGATTCGACACCGCCGCCGCCGTCACGACCACAGCCTCAGGCTGGTCTCCACAGGTGGGTCATCCACAGGTGGGTCGCCTACCAGCTGGTCGGCACCGAGTTCATCCACCCCAGCAGTCTGACCTGCCGATAAGTACGTACTGTCGGTCTTCTCTTGGCTGAGAGCGTAAAGTTCTGCAGCCACGTTCGCCCCGATGTCGAGTGCTAGCGCCAAGCTAGAGAGCACTCCTACTATACAAAGTCTCGCCACCATCGATTGTAGACTGACTGAGGTCGTTGACTGATGGTTCACTATACGTGCTGATTGTGCACGGTAAAATCAAAAATTGTTAAACCTTCTTTATAACCTAACAGTTGGTGGATTTGCGCAGTGTCTTCTGCCCCGCTTCCACTTCCACCCGGCCTGACGTCGATGACCAGGTTGGAGGGGACCAGTACGCGGACGGCTGTCGGTTTGGCGAGGACGCTGCCGACTGTGTCATCTGCGCACTCGCTGAGGTTGAGTAGTTGGCCGTCGGCGTAGAGGTAGCAGGGCGGGCCGCGTAGCAGTTTTTCGTCGGGGAGTAGCCGGATGCGGGCAAGAGGAGTGACGAGGTCCTCGACGAGTTTGGGGATCTGGTCGACGTGCGCGGCGCCCCAAGTAAGGAAGCGTTCGCGGAGCACACGGCGGATTTCGCGATCGAGCAGATGCGTCGTGACCACCTGAGCGGCATTTTCGACACCCAGCGACTCGCACAGGGCCGTCGCCTGTTGGGCGCTGAGCATGCCCTCGACCAGCTGCGCCGTGTCTCCCCCAGCCATGCCCCCACTCCCAGTCCCAGACATGCCCCCAGTCCCAGCCATGCCCCCAGCCCCAGTCCCCGAGATGCCCTGGTCGGCGTTCGCTGCGAGCGCTCGTTCGTGCTCTTGCCAATACCATTCAAGCCGTTCTTCCACCAATTCGCTCGCGTGTAATTTGTGCGACTTGACATTTAGGTTGCAGAGAGTTGAGTAATGGTAGTTCTTGGCAACAACCCACACCGGCAAAACAGGTTTCTTCATGCGCACACCGACGACGCTGTAACGCTCCATATCGCTAAGTTGACCGAGTGCGCTATGGTGTGCGATGCCCTTGAGAAGAACACCAGCCGCCGCGCGGTCGCCGTCAAATGTGTTTGGTGTTGCAGCTCCGGTGAGGAGTAGATTAACCATCTCCTGCGAGCAGTGTCCGAAGTCCGCGAGCAAGCTGGACTCGTTGAACGGGTCGAAATCTTCGGCCGCAATTTTGCGCGCCCCGCGTGTGTGGACACACGATAACACCAAGTTAAGGCAACCAGGCACTTGCGGCCCGCAAAAGAGAGTCAGTAAATGATCGCATACAAAGCTAGCCAGCGCCACATAGGAACCAAACACACGCACGAATACACGACTCCGAACCAACAAGTCGCCGACACCCAAGCGCCCCGTCATCGCACTCGCACTCCGTGTATGCAACTCACTCACACTACCCCCCTTCACCGCGTCCAACGCGTCCAGACAACACAACGCAGCATCCCCCCCTCGGGGCCGACATTGCCAGATGATCCGCGCGATTGCAGCACTCACCATGGCCCGTAGGCCCCACGGCGTAGCACTGCTTAACTTCTGGTTCATTGACAACGTTCCTGCACGCCGCTTCGGCATGGACTCTTGAGAATTGGGCTCCTGAGAGATGGGTTCCTGAGAGATGGGTTCCTGAGAATTGGGTGAAAAGAGGAGCGCGGCAAACATGTGCGATTGGAGAACGGAAATCACCCCACAGGGGCCGCCGATGAGTTGCATGAGTAGCCAAGGAGTGTCGGTTCTTTGGTAAAAGAGGATGGGGTGCCGCAACCAGCGGGCCAGGTACCTGGTTTCGACCGCATTTTGGCCGAGAAGGACTTCCCATAGTTCCGTCGGGTCGGTTAGGGGTTGGAACTCCTGTTCCCAAAAGGCACGGTATGTCTCCTTAGCCTCAGGAGTTAGGTCGCTAATAATCGAATGCAGTGACGTGAAACCTGTCACCCAATCATTTGAATATCCCAGACGTTTGCAGTCTTCCTGTATCCTGTTATCCTTGCAATGGGGTAACCGAGAAACATCTCCCAATCGACCTAAATATGGATCCGATGGAAATAAGCTAGGAACTATATTGGGGTCATCCACAAGTCTATCAATCCATCCCGACATCAGTTAATAATATATTCGTAAAAATGGCCGAGTTCGGGTTTAGCGGCGATGAGCTCGCTATACTCGAAGAGGGTGAAGTCCTCGGGCTGACTAACGAAGAAGTCAAGCAACGATGTATGCTCATTAGTAACGAGGTCAAAGTTCTGCAACAGGTACGCGTCGTGGGTGGGCGGGGTGGCAGTTGAAGGAAAGGTCAGGTTGCAAGAGGTTGCAGGGGGTCTGGTTGTTGAACCATCAGATCCCGTAAGGTGGGAGGGAAGGGGCCAAAGTGGAAGGGCCTAAAGGGAAGTCTGGGAGCCTACTACCGCTTGAGGGTACTACCGCTGGTGAGGGTCTGGGGGTTCAGGGGGATCGATGAAGACTAGTATGCTTCAGAATGTTGCTCATTTAAATCATCAGTTGGCCTTTAATGCCGAGCAGTTGAAAGAGAATGAGGACAAGATAAAGTTGAATAAGCAGCTTCCTTACCTAGTTTCGAATGTTGTGGAGGTTTTGGATCTGGATAGTGATACTGATGATGCAGGAGAGAGTGGGGGTGTGATATCTACAGATAAGTCGAAGAAGGGTAAGTCGTTGGTAATTAAGACGTCAACACGGCAAAATGTGTTTCTACCTGTTATTGGTTTGGTTCCGGCGGATGAATTGAAGCCTAATGATCGTCTTGGTGTGAATAAAGATAGTTATCTTGTATTGGCTAAGTTACCTCCTGAATATGATAGTCGGGCTAAGGCGATGGAGGTTGATTCTAAGCCAACGGAAGAGTATTCGGATATTGGTGGTTTGGATAAACAAATTCAGGAGCTGGTAGAGGCCATTGTATTACCCATGACACATGCAGACCGGTTTGACAGCTTGGGTATCCGTCCACCGAAGGGAGTCTTGATGTATGGACCTCCAGGAACGGGAAAAACGCTGTTAGCACGCGCGTGTGCTGCTCAAACAAACGCTACATTTTTAAAGTTAGGAGGTCCCCAATTGGTTCAAATGTTCATTGGAGATGGCGCCAAGATTGTCAGGGATGCATTTGAGCTGGCGAAGGAAAAATCGCCCGCCATTATTTTCATCGACGAGCTTGATGCTATTGGAACCAAAAGACAAGAGAGCGAACTTTCAGGAGACCGAGAGGTACAACGAACAATGCTCGAGCTACTAAACCAACTGGATGGATTCTCCTCCGTGGACTCAGTCAAGGTCATTGCTGCAACCAACAGACCAGATATCCTAGATCCAGCACTACTTAGGTCGGGAAGACTCGATAGGAAAATAGAACTACCACACCCAAACGAGGAAGCACGGGCACGCATCCTAGAGATACACTCACGCAAAATGACGGTAGACAAGGCATCTGTCAACTACAAAGAACTCTCTCGGGCTACCGACGAATTCAACGGTGCCCAACTTAAAGCCGTCTGTGTCGAAGCAGGAATGTGCGCTCTCCGTAGGAAAGCCAAACAACTCACCCACGAAGATTTCGTTGATGGAATCGCTGCCGTTCAGGCTAAGAAAAAGAGCGCACTTAATTACTTCGCCTAGACGCACAACACTCTCCTCCTGGTACCTCATCCCCTAGTCGTGTTCAGACAGCGTAGGCCGACGCTTGGTGGCGGCCTGACAGGGACCTGAAACGTGGGACGCTGAAAGGTGGGTGGGGACCCGAACAACCAACTTGCTAGGGGGGGGGACCCGAACAACCGGTGTGGTCTAGGTGTGGTCAGGGAGAGGTTAGATTGGTTGGTTTTTTTCCGTGAGGAAAATAATTCATGTCGAACTTGGCCGACTGGAATGAAGCGGCAGGCGGGGGCAGTTCGCCGGGGGCCCCTGCAGACTGGAGCAGCATTGGACAACAGTTGATGTCATGCGACACGGCGGTGCCAGAGGCGGAAGGTGACGGGCCAGAGGGGGGATGTCGAGGTGTGTACTTCGACCATATAAGACATTTGTGGCGAGCAAATTGGCCGGAAGAGACAATTGTTATGGACCGAGATACCAAGCGTCCTCTCGAGATCCGGCGCTGCACACGCACCAAGGGCTTCAGTGCCAAGAAGTTCGGCTTCCAGGAAAGCAAACGCATGGCCGTAGCCCACAGGAAAACCATGATCACTTCCGGCGTGATCCGCAAGTACATATACCAACCCGCTTCAGCGGTGCAAAACGCCGCCACAACGGGCGCCAAAATCAAACAGTCCAAATCCAAGAAACGGAAGGGCCCTAGCAGGACCGCAACCACCTCCGCCAACGGCCTGGATCCCAACTGCTTGGGGACCAACGCCGTCTCGGGGGCCAATGGTTTAGGGACCAACGGCAATGGTTTAGGGACCAGTGGCCTGGGTGGCGGTCTAGGCCCTGGCGGTCTAGGAGGCCCTAATGGTGGTCTAGGAGGACCCAATGGCGGTCTAGGAGGACCCAATGGTGATCTAGGCCCCAATGGCTGTCTAGGCAGCAACGGCGGTCTAGGCAGCAACGGCGGTCTAGGCAGCAACGGCGGTCTAGGCAGCAACGGTCTAGGCCCCAATGGTGGCCTAGGCAGCAATGGTCTAAGCAGCAATGGTCTAGGCCCTAGCGGCGCCAGCATGGAGGCTGTGGGCCTCGGCCCTAGTGGTCTCGGCCCTGGTGGTCTGGGACCCGGTCTCGGCGGCGCCACGACCGGGTTGGGTGAAAATGACCGGCCTGCGTTGATGAGCAGCCGAATACACACGTCACTGATTCATTCGTCGTTGGGCCAGGCGTCGCTGGGCCACACGACTCCGGCGGCGATGTGTGCCTCGAACGGGCACCGACCGGCCGGCGACGGGCTGATGAGCAACCAGTCACCGAACACGGTGTCTACGGAGGCGCCGCCAAGCCCGGGCCTCGACTTAATGCTCTGCCTGGGCGGCTCGGGCGAGGTAGATCCCACAGGCAGATATAATGATTCCGGAGGCGGTGGAGGCGGCGCCTTAGGGACACAGGACGGGTCCACCGTCGCCTATGACTTCACTTTTTTATAAACATTGACTGCTCCACATTGTATCCATATCGACCCCACCGAGGGGGCACCCAACGGGAGACCCACCACCACCGGGCTTTCAGAGTCAGCACTGTAATCTGTCTGCTGTATCTGGCTTCAGCACAAATGATACTTGCTCGAAATTTGCTTGCCGCGTGTGCGCACCACACACACTACACACACACACCCTCACACACACCCTCACGCACACGCGCACACACCTTTCCACGCACACGGCGCGGTCACCGTAGATCCGTTATTCGATCTGCTCTTAGACCTGTTCTCGTCCTACCAGACATGTTGATCAACGAAACACTAAAAAAGGGCTGCACACGCGTGTGCACACGCGTGTGCACAGCCTCAGTCGGCGACACATGCCAGGCGCGCGGTGATGCCACCTAGCATAACAGAAACACGCATCCAGAACGGGTCCAGGAAGGCGTGCGGATTGAGTGACAGGAAGGACAGGTCACTAGGGCGTACTAAGGCGCGCTAGTTAGTCGTCATACATTCAACGGAGCTTTAAGGGTATGGAAGAAGTTCTGTTTGTTCCTCTGCCCTGTCCGTATCTATGATGCCATTATCTTGATGTGGGTGATCAGCCGAGGACACGTTTCTCGGGAGATAGTCGGATGCGATTTGGTCGTGGTGTGAATCAGGATGTTTAGAAGATAGGAAATACAAACCGTCATGAGGCGGTGGGCCGATCGGAAGTATGCAATTCCAGGGCTCGTAAACAGGATAGACAGATGCAACATTGGCCAGCACACTACCCGTGTCCCACTTCCCTAGGTCTCCTGACATATACTCGATCATGGTACAGTTCTGCATGAATGGTGCGGTATGGTGGAGATGAGGGAGGGTCTTACATGGCAAATGAGATATAGGTGGAAAGCCCAAAATGGAAGAATCACGACGGTGGCACTCGCACAAAGGAAAGCTCCGAGTATTGTGATGTACAAGGACCCCCAAGAAATGGAATAGTCCAGAAGATCGTGGCTTAACTGATACGACAGACTAACTAAGGTGCTCAGCGTCAGCACCCATGCCCAACCAACGGTTTGATGAAAATATCGGTAGTTGTTGTTACCAATTCTGCAAGTCATTGAAGTGTTATCCAAGGTGTTGTTTGGACTCGATGTAGGAAGATGGAATGGACCAGATGGAAGAGGGTGTTGGTGCTCACACGTTGCCGACCCAGGGACAGTAGTGATCCATCTTCAATATGAGTTTCTTAGAGCGGGAATCAAAGTGAGCCCGATCTGGGACATATTTTCCTTCTGAGGTATTGAATTTTAGCGAACCCGATTTGGTTCTCTCGAGTATCCAATCTGATATGACCCCCTTTGGAGCTTCGGTCTGATCAGGGAATGAATCTGGGCTCCATGAGTCCGGGACGTATCCTGGTTCTGCCCATCCGGCTCGGATGAAGCACCACACGAAGATACCACAGCCCAAGTAGTAACCTGTTATGTACACCAAATACTCTGTCTGATGAGAGAGCGGAGATGAAGATGAGGACGTATGTTCCCACCGATTTCGGATTCCGGAGGTCGCTTAATATGGGAAGCACTATTGACTGCGTGAAGCTGAACCATTATGGCTTGAAGAACTCTGTTCAGGAAGGAAGGAAGGAAGGAAAAAGTTACATTATTGCTATCAAGAGTGCCATAGTCCAAACGGTTAAGACGGAGATTGCGTCTCGATAGACGCCTTCCTTTTCCACGCCATCCTGTTGTCCGTCATGATAGCTCACACGGCGGTCGGTAGTGGTTTCCTCTGAGGAGTCCATGGTTTTCCCCGATAGTTTTTTTAAACATGAGTAGATGCAGGAGCGAAGACTCCCGAATATGGCGCGACTACAGCTGCCGAAAAAAGTTAGGAGCACGTGTCAGATGTACGGGAGAGACGCTAGGGTTTCGGGATTGAAAGTGTCCGCATAGTCGACCGGGTGATCCCGACTGGCCGAGTGCAACCGTAACGGGTTAGCTAGCGACTGGTTAGCTGGCCCTCAAGGAAATCTACCCCTATTTCCAGCAGCTTGGCGCGCGAGAATATGTTGATGCGGACGACGCGAAGCGAGAGTGGCGGCAGTGAGAATGGGAGCCTACCCACCATCCATACTCCCCGATCGCGGGCTGCATGGTTTCAAACTATAGCGGGAACGACCACCAGGATACCGTTGTGGCCTCCGACGACCGAACCTGCGACTATTTGCAAGACGGTAGCACGGATAGTGAGTTCCTCATCCCGACCTTACCCACCACCATCGACCCCAGTCGTAACCGACCCCCAGTCGTAACCGACCCCCAGTCGTAACCGACCCCCAGTCGTAACCGACCCCCAGTCGTAACCGACCCCCAGTCGTAACCGACCCCCAGTCGTAACCGACTTCACCCATAAACCAAACCCGAGTCGGCAACCACTTAAGCACAGACGTCAAAGTCACCAGACCGTCCAAGTTACCTAGGCGACCTAAGCCGGTATTGGGACAGGTTGAACTGGGACGCATACTCAATTGGGACATCATCCTGATCATTTGTTCTGTAGACGCCTCAAAGTGGTCTTTCTAGTCTATCATTGCTAAGGCTGAGCTATCTTTATGAAGCAGCGGTAATGTATCACATTTAAATCTATCACGTTTGGCCTAATCCAGATCAACAACACAAAATGAGTGCACCACCGTACTTGAACCGGACGTGAAACAGATGGGCTGGCATCAATCGCTAAGCATCACGTTAGGGGGTCATAAAAGCTATGTACGTACATCCTGCTAAGTCTGACGGTTACTCCTATGATACCTACATGTCCCAATCGAGCGCATAGTACCTACGGGGCGCATAGTACCTACGGGGCGCATAGTACCTACGGGGCGCATAGTACCAACTGGGCGCATGGTAGGAACCCGGCGAACTATGCCGAGCAGGTTTCTATCTGGTGTATTTGGTCCACGAATTGTCTGCTCTGGCCGCCCTCAAACGCTCAGGCGGTCATCGATTTATGATACACCTCGTGACACTGTCGCCCACTCAAGAGCGGGCCCGCTGCAGGAGGGACAGACAGATGGAAAAGACATTTCGAGTTTTGTAGACGGTGATTCAGAAATGGTGGAGGGGACATAGAGCGAGGGAGTATTACAATCAAATGAAAGTTCAGAAGACTGAGCAAGTGAGGCGCAATCTGGCTGCCGCCAAAATCCAAGCTCTGTGGAGGGGCCACACAATGCGTGAGGAACGGACTTTAAAAAAGTACATTCATCTACACGAAATTGCTAGAGCCGCTGCAGCCGTAAGTAACCACTCGTTCGATGTTGAACACACGGGCTGACCGCGTTAATTTACCCGGAGAGGACACCTGTACTGTAGAGGAGAATACAGCATGCTTGGCTAGCTTGGAGAAAAAAACAACAAACTGAGCTGAAGCATCTTATCGACCTGGTTGCAAGGTTAAGAAGTGTTTCGGCGGTAAGAAACACCTGCGAGACGGCTGACAGGGGGGCTCATTTGCATCACCCATCGTCCCATCACTCACGACCCATCGTCCGTCCCATCACTCACAATATCTGCCAACACGTGTGTGAGGGATAAGATGGAGATGTTGATTTGCTGCAGTCGGTGATCCAAAAGTGGTGGCGTGGCATTCGAGTTCGTAAGATCATAGACGAGGAATGGAACTGCTGGGTGGTCAAATGGATCTGGGATAAGCCCGGCAACAATGTGCAGATCGTAGGCGACTTCACGAATCCACCATGGACGCGCTCTATCCCCATGGAATTTTGTCCCATTCGTCGTTGCTACGTGGCAAGATTACCACGGAAACCTGGGAGGTACCAGCTTAAGTTTCTCGTCGACGACCGTCTGGTGTGCTGCGGTGGCGGCACTGTCGTTGATGATGGTGCTGGTCACTTCAACAATATGTTTGATGTTTATGAAGTACCATTACCTTCTCCATGTAAGGACGGGGGCACGAAAAGGGGACGAGACCACCAACCAGGGTGGTCCGGATACGGTCTAGATACCGGCCGGTTCAGAACGTGCGGGTCGGTTCAGGTGCGGGTCGGTTCAGGAGGTCGGTTCAAATTGATGTTTTTGTAGTTGAGAAGTGCAGAATGACCTGCATGCGAGCCAGGGAAGGTTCACGTTGGCCCATAGCGTGTTCGAGGCAACCACGAACAGAAGCTCATTGGAAGCGCAGGTCCAAGTCCAGTGATGGCGACGGGATTTTCAACTAGTCCTTCACAACTAGTCGTTCACAAGCCGGACCTAACGTGGACGCCGGACCTAACGTGGACGACAGATTCTTGTGGGAATAACTCATTCCAAATAGCCTGAAAAGGAAGAGCGTGTAACACAACGCGCTGACAGCAAGGGGTGAAAAACACATTTACTCACTTCGCATATCAATGACCCATCTTTTTGGCGACATACAACCCGCTTATTTCTTAGGGCCTGTGAAGACACATCACAGAGCCAATTACCGTCGCCGTCAATCTTAGGCTTGATGGCCAACAGGTCCTGGAATTTCATGCGTTGACCAGTCACCGGACACACACGATGCTTACTCACTTTCGCATTTGCCCGCGACTCCAACTCCTCAATTTCGTCCTTGTCCAATGAACCGGTCCAGAAATCCACCGGAGGTGGAGGACCACCACTGACTGGAGCTTGTTTCTAAAACCGGAACGTATCCTGATGTGAGCTTAGCAGGTGTCACCTCCCACCTTTCTCTGATGCGAGATCTCTGATGCGAGATCCCTTGGTAGGTGCTAAGGCTTACTCGCTGTGCTTTCAAAGTCTCTTTGACTTCGGCAGTGTCGTCGCTCAGCTCATCGTCCCGTTCTTCCATCGAACAAGACTCCTGGTCTGGTCGTACTAGCTGGTTTGCCTCCTGGAAGGCTTTTGTCAAATCTCGTTGATTCTTGTTCCGATGTTGTATGAGTAGTTTTTGAGCAGCTTCTTTTTCTTTTGTAAGTTGATTGGCCTTTTCTTTCTGTTCTCCAAGACTGAGAATAATGCAAGACCTGCAATAGATAACTCCGCTAGTTATGACCACTACGGGGTCTTTAGGTTGATGAAGACAAATGCCACATTGATTAATCTCGTTTCCTAGTTTAGCGTGCTTCGTCTCCGTTCGTCGTGGACGACTGAGAAGCTGAGGCATCTGCTGCCTCTCATGGTAGGTGAACATTGATCCTGCGTTATTGTTCTTTGAATGCCTCCCCATCCTGCATCATATTATTTTCGACATTTATGGTAACTTCGTGGCGATGAACCTTCCCTGGTAACTTCGTGGCGATGAACCTTCCCTGGTTCATCTTCCCTGGCGCGTCAACATAGGTACGAGCTCCCGTGGCTATCGGGTTGTTTGCAAGCAAACAGACAGGTGTTGCACCAGCGGCGGAAGAAGATGGGCGGAATAAATAAATCCGGATGAATGAACACCCCTTCGTCGACGTCGCGGATGTCTCCGAAGCCGGTTTGGGTCAAGTCGGTGGTGAAGATGTCTAAAGTGAGAAACGTCCGTTGGGGACGCAGCCCGTTCCTTTCAGGTACAACAGCGCGGGCCAATGACGGTGACGGATCGCGCGATTGTAAGAAGCACTGAAAGCGCGCGTATGCACTAAAAACAGACAGGCGTATGCGCTGAAACACGCGTGTGCACACACTTGAGCGCCGCAAAGTGCGCGCATACTGCGTACGCGGAGGGGGGTAAGTAGAGAGTGTATCTGCTTAGAGTTACATCCAGTACTTCAAAGACCAGGTGGAGGAGGCGATGGAGAACAAGGCAGGGTTGTTACAGTGCATAACATCGGCGCGCGGGGGACAGGCGTCGCTGAACGGCGCGGAGTTCATGAACGATACGTTCATCAATACGATGCCGACGGGGGAGGAGGTGGGTATGTATTTTGCGGTGTTATGGAGTCGGGATGGGATCAAGACGATTCGTGGCGATTTGTTCGGAGGGGGGCGTATCCGCGTAGAGGGGTTGAGCGAGACGCAGACGAGTCGGCGAAATGAGACCAATTGCGCAACGTTCTTCCGTCGCGCAGCGGAAACACTGGGTCGAAATCTACCGCCTAATGCGACCCTGAATGAAATGCTACCGGTCGCGGTCGTAGCCTCTTTGCCCGTGTGTAGTACAAGCGTCAAGTCGGCCATGGTTTACGCACCCGATCACCCGATCAACGGCCTCGACATTACGACAGTGCTCGATCTCGCTCTCGAAGACTGCCTCTTGCCCGTCAAGTGTGTGGGAGTCTGTAACGATGCCGTTGCCAGCTTACTCGCTTCCTGGTACCAACGCAATACCCTAGACCAGAACTCCAACCATAATGTAAACATCAACCACCACGCAAACGCTGACGCTAATGGCAAGCACACTAGGGAGAACCAACAACGTCACGAAGGACAACAACGTCACGAAGGGCAACAACGTCACGAAGGACAGCAGCGTCATGAGGAACAGCAGCGTCACGAAGGGCAGCGGCGTCATGAGGAACAGCAGCGTCACGAAGGGCAGCGGCGTCACGAAGGGCAGCGGCGCCGGAGCCAGCACGAAAAAGAGCGTACGCGGGGTGCGGACATTGCGGTGTTAATCGACCCGGGGTTCAATGTGTCTTTGAAGGATCCGAACCCCGGTTCTCGCGGCTGCGTAATCAATACTGAGATCGGCCGGTATTCGATTGAGGATCGTTATCTGACGGACCTGGACTACATTGATGCGTATGAGACGAACCCGAAGAGCGCTAGTGCGACCCTGGAGCACATGATAGTGCACATTGGAGAGGTTTTCAGGCTGGCCATTCGGTTTGTCTGGCAAGAAAGTTCGCCGATTTCAGTCCGTCGGCGGGGTGTTATTAGCAACAAGGAGGCGTTGCGAATAGCTAGCGAGACGGGCAATTTTGAGTACAGCCGTAGCTTCTGTAGCAAGCGATTGCATTGGGAAACGACCAAAACTGACCGGAAGCTGCTGCAGTCTTTGGCGCTGGGTGCAGCCCAGCGGTCAGCTGCATATTTCAGCTGCACACTCGTGGCCCTACTTTCTTATCTGCAAATGGATTGTCAGCTGAACCGCCAGATCTACATCACTGTCGACAGTTCGTGGGATGGGTGGTGGCTCAATTTCGTTAACCATCTGCTCTCGCGCACATCCTACTTCCGGCAGTCCGTGGGCGTAGGTAAATTGCGGCTGCACCAAGTCACGGATTCTGTGCGCAAAGGAGCGGCCGTTTTCGCTGCAAGGCGAGAGATTTTTCAGGAAAAGTGCTGAGCTCTCGGTTAGCAAAATTCTGATGAAAAAAATTCTGTCAGATCAACTAGCCATGGGGTTGACAGGTTTTAACCGATCACTGTGCCCGTCCGGTTAGAGGCCGGTAAGGGGCCTCAGCGGTAAGGGAGCACAGTGGTTGTGGTTGAATGATGGTGGTTGGAGACGAATCGCTTTTTGGGGCGCAAATAAGAAATGAACGATGTGAGACACGTGTGCACGGTGTTGGGGTTTGCCCTGCGGACGAAAGTGGTGCGCGCCCAAGGCGAGGAGGAGACGTTGCCGGCTGAGTATCCAGTCGGTTTACGGCGTGTGCCGCACATTTGTAGGTTGTTGGATCGATCGTGTTCGACGCCGTGTGCGGCAGTGTCTGAGAAGTTATCATTGCCCTACTTTTATGTGACTTCGAACAACCAATGTTGTTATGGCCAACATCACCCGGCGGGGATCGGTACGGGTGAGGGTCCGAGCATTGCCAAGTCAGCAACGGGTCAATCGCCGGTATGGAGACTGAAAACGGAGCATCATACTACCACACATCTGGTTTTAATGTGGAATTTGCCTGCTCATTATGTCGAAGTGTTTGGGACCTTCACGCAACCCCCATGGTCTCGAGGTTTGCCAATGTGGTGGTGTCCTGTATCCCGTTGTCACTGGATAGATTTACACGAGACTGTACCTGGTCTAAGTGGGTTAATGCAGTTCAAATTTGTTGCTGATGGCTCATGGAAATGTGACCCGAACTACCCCATTTGCGATGACGGTAGTCCCAGTCACTCCCTCAACAATGTCTGTGTTATTTTCCCGCAGCGACTTCGTCTCCGTTTGTCAAATCAACGTCTACGACGACGTCAAAGTGTTTCCAGCAACCGACTCAACACTACCCGACTTAGTACCAGTTGGGTCTGTGGCGTTAACAGTCCCAAACAGGCTACACCGAGGCACGGACGACAACTGATTCGTAACGAGGATGACAAGAGTCGGCCACGTCGCGCCAATATTGCCCGAGAAGCGTCCACCGCTCAGCCGAATGAACTCTGCTCGAAACCCGCTTGGGCCCGGTTTGAAGCCGCCGGTACCCCGCTCAGCTCCTCACCCACGACCAAGGCGTTCGAAGAAAAAAGGGCCGGTAAACGCTCACCTACCATCAGCGGTACCGGTGCCGCCACCTCCCAGGCCTGTCGTCGCTGGCTTATTCGACAAGCCCAACAGGAACAGGACGGCCGCGAAGACTACCGCGCGGCCGGCCTACTCGGCTCCGAGGTCTCCACCTCGGCTACCTCCGTGGCCGCAGATGAGGTCGCTGATCTCAAAACCGACTTGAGCAGGACCGGGGCCCACACCGGAACCGCCACAACCCATTCGATGACGACAGGGGGGACGACAGGGGGGTCGTCCGACGGTATGTCGCTTGATGGAGCCACCCTCGGGGAGATGCAGGTGGCGAACGTTGGCCAACAAGTGGCAACGGTGGGTCAACAAGTGGCGAGGGTGGGCCAGCAAGTAGCGACGGTGGGTCAACAAGTGGCGACGGTGCGTGAACAAGCAGCTACGGTGGGTCACCAAGTAGCTACGGTGGGTCAACAAGTAGCTACGGTGGGTCAACAAGTAGCTACGGTGGGTCAACAAGTAGCTACGGTGGGTCAACAAGTAGCTACGGTGGGTCAACAAGTAGCTACCGTTGGTCAGCGGAGTTCCAGGAACGAGGCGCGCCGGCGCGAGAAGCAGAAACACCTGGACACGCTGGTTCGTTGCTTAAGTCACCACGGGGGGAGGCGGCAACAGAAGAGTGGTATCGACAAGAGGCGGAGTCGTGTAGCCAATTGGCCAAGTTACGTGACGAGTTTACTACATGATCCCGATGTTATGCTGGAATTATTCGACTTGCCGAAGGTTCTCAAGTTGACGAATGAGTATCTGTGTTTGCGTGCTGGGTGGTCGATGACGACGCACCCGGAGAAAAGGATGACGGGTGGTGCAGACTCTTTTTACGTGTCTCGGGATGGGCGTGTGCTAGCTCTGGCAGATGGAGTAGGAGCATGGGAGCAGTTGGGTGTGAACTCTCGTGCTTACGCAGATGAGTTGGTAACGGCGATCAAGGACGTTTGGGAGGATGCATACCACTCAATCCATTCGTTGCATCTGAAGCCGAGTCTGTTAGCGCGGGAGTTGATGACATTGGCGGCGAAGGCCCCTGTCAGTTACGGCTCGGCGACTTGCACTATCGCAGTTTTCGACCCGATGCGGCAGGAGCTGGGAATCTGCAATTTGGGAGACTCTGGCGTTAGCTTATTACGTCGGAATAACAAGGGCCACATCACGCCGTACTTCCGGACCCCGGAGATGACGCACTTCTTCAATTGCCCGTTCCAGCTCTCGAAAACCCCCTCGCGTAAAGTGATTGAAAAGATCCTAGGACTCAAAAATATAGAGAACGGAAAGGGCTTCGTCCTGCCCGCCCAAGACGCTCCTAAACATGCGCACTGCTTCGATCTACGGGTAGAAGAAGGCGACCTACTCCTCATGGCCAGCGACGGCCTCTGGGACAACCTCTGGCCATGGGAGATCAGCTCGCTCTGCACACTCACACTCACCCCGCTCGAAGCCCTCATCCTGCACGATGATACGCTCCTCACAGAAGGAACTGATATCGCACGTGCTCTCACGGAAGCGGCAAGCTGGAAATCCCAGGATCCGCGTTCCAGCACACCATTCGCCAAAAACTACACGGCAGAGTGCGGCATGCCCGGATTCACCGGCGGCAAGTGGGACGACATTACCGTCATCGCAGCCTGGGTCGCCAGACATCATATCTCCACCACCGAGATCTACGGCTACGACGGCGAACTCATCGCCAAGGCCTCGCCCCTCCAATCCGTCAACACGCCACACGTAAGGCTCCACCCGACCCACCCCGAACGTTACGCCGCAAACATACCCGAATGTAATGGCTTGACAATGTACTTCTGGTTGGATATGATCGGTGGACACGGCCACTTGCTTGCCGTGGCTTCACTTGGTTGCCGTCCCTGTGATTACTGATGCCCCTTTGCCCTTGGTTA